CAATAAATGAAGCACTGCCTCTTTCCTCTTGCTTCTCTCCTTCCTCCTCAAAAAATGTCAAAGTGAGATGGCCCATTTCTCTGAATTAATCACTGCTGAGGACTGAAAATGTCTTGTTTCATAGGCATGCACCCCCAAAATAAAGGACTTTCCTAATGCTACAAAATTAAAATCTAGAGATGCTGTGGCCATAATGTTCAGCTGACACCACTCTAGAAAGCAGAAGGAGGAAAAGGAAGTGTCTTATAATTATAAGATTTATTTTACAGCTTGTTATGTGTTTTCAGAGCAAAGCTTTCATGCTTTATGTGTTGGCAGGAAGTTTGCTAGACAGCCGTGCTCTCAAATGTAGAGTCATCAAGTCACCAGCTGGCCCTGCTAGTAGCTTTTTTAGACGGCATTAGCGTAGACCATGCCTTTCAGATGAAGAGATATCCTGGGGAGCACATAATAGAGCAACCAAACATGATCAGATCAAGGACTGTGGATGTGCTGTGAAGCTCTTCACCTCTCTATTACTGGTTCCTGTTTAGCTTGGCAACAGAAAGTCACTGCCACCTAACGGCTATTCCATGTCCATGGGGAAGTACATTTGCTTCTCACTCCAGTTCACCACAGGTTGAAGCACAAGCAAAGATAGCCACCACTAAACAGACTGTCTGTGATGTAGAACAGCCCATAGTCCCCATTCACAGTTGCCTTTTTGAAGGAATGCCATGGAGAGCTCCTGGAGATTCCTCTCTACAGATGCAGTCCACGTCCATGATGAAGAAACTATTTTAGGACATCACTTCCTACTATCCAAGGCACACAGTGTTACTGAATCATGAGGGAAGTCCAAAGACAACAGCTATTTCGTTGGTCTGAACTATCCAGAAACTATAGGTTATTTTTGAAAAACACATACACATACACCCACTCATTTGCTTTCCAGGATCCTTCAGTCAGGCAACTTCATGGTGAGACAGCTCATTTTGAAAACACCCACTCCACCATAAGAAGCAAACACAACAAACACTAGGAATAGCCTCCAAAGAACAAGAAATCATATTTTGTATAAGGATGGCACAAGGTTACACCTTCCAAATATCTGCCCAGATACTGACAACCCAATAACCAGGAGTTTGAATGAGTAGAATATCCTCATTCTGCTCTCAAAAGGAAGAAAGTTAATTAACCTCCCAAATGGCTTTTCCCTGACAAGGCAATTCTGTCGCCAACAAAGTTAATTCAAGAATGGATTCCCACTGTCTTCTGAGACACCTTGACCACAGATCCTTTTTCTCCTCGCTATCTCCTCTCCATTAAAAAAAAATACCTGTACCCACATTCACAACAGTAACAGTCTTACAGAGGAAAATGACACAAAAATTCCCTGCTCAAGATTTTCAACTGTGGCCACTTTGGCTGAAATCTGCAAGATGACCAACCCCTTGCAATCCTCTTACTACACTAACAACAATTCAGAATCCCATTGATGCCAGCCCTTAAACAAACTGCGTGTTGTGAGATACCTCCTGACTGACAGCAGGATCAACGGAAATTGATGCAGCACTATAGGAAATGTCAGCCAAGACATCCAGGTGCTACAATGGATGTCACAGAGCAGGCTGACTTGAGACTGAGGACACAAACATGGAAGGAGTCAAACACTCAAGGAGGCAAAAGAATGTTAGAGAAATGCAGCCCTCTACAGAATAAAATGCACTGTTTAGAAAGCAATAGGTAAAGAAATGGCACTGACTCAGCAGGCTGCCCTCCTTCCTCCTCTGACCCATTACAAGCTGGGGTAGAAACAGGAAGAAATGACCAAGCTTACCTGTGCAAAGATGGTCAGAAACATTTAACAAAACAGATGTGAAGAAAGCTCATATCACCCCTAATGCTCCTGACGCTAGACCTACAGACATCCAATGTCTTGGGGCTAACCATGGCTACCACTGGCCTTGACATCAGCACACTGGCATTATCACCAAATGCAAGAAAAGGGCAGACACCCCAGAAAAGGATCCTTAACTCCAAAGAAAGATCATTACCTTCATGGTCAAGCCACCAGTGGTGAGATGAAGCAACCACTGGGACGGACATAAAGCCTGACCACTTAAGCAGGTTTCTCTCTACTACAGGCAGGGGCAGGAATCAAAAAGATAAGCAGTATCAGGAAAGTGGATTCTCCTATCTCCTGGATGAGGGGAGAAGCAAATAGAAGCAAACCAACCCCAGGGACACACAGTGAATTCCCAGACACTGTTTCCTGCCTCACAGAAACTGGTGAAACACCCTCAATCTGCTGGCCATAAAAAGGTGCTGAGAACAGAGAAGCTGAGAGCAATAGCATTATAAGTTCTCCATGAGGGACGGAAAAATAGAGTAAGATTGAAGAGAATTCCTTAGAGCTAAGCAGGAACCTGGCTAAAAGCCCCTGGGAAACCCATCTCCTTCTTAATCTGCTTTGCATTTAATTGTTTCCTAAAGACTATATCCCTGTTTGGCCCCAAAAGGCTCAGGGACTGGCGCCACTACTGAGGCTTCCCATCTCTCATCTATGGTCACTGGTAATTTAGAGGCTCCAGTTTAATGGCTAACTGGAAATACATAGAGAGCAAGTTAAGCATTATTTGCACAGAGTAGCACTCACCAGTATGCTGAGTACAAGGAGGAGATGCACACAAAAAGTGTTTTTCCACTCCCAGCTGCAAGCCCATTCCAGACACATACGCAGCACAACCTCACCAGAGACAGAGACACAGCAGCTGCATCCAGACCTGCTGGCACTATCCACAGTCCCAGAGTCACCAAATCCCTGCCTCACAGAATCTCTCTTCTAGGCACAGCTCCAAAAATGAGGTTGGAAATCAGTAATCAATTCATACATAAGCTTAAAAGAAAATTCCAAACTCTCAGCATATACAGAGGAGCTTAAGATGGCCTCACTGGAAGAACAGAAAGCAAAGAGAGTACAATGAATGGCTGAGAACACCAGAAGTCTATCCAGGAGAGGCTAGTAGAAGTAACATCTGAATAAGTATCCTTCACACACACCACTTACTTGGGAGGGGCATTCACATCCTCTTGGTCCCATTCAGTGACTAATCTTTAGTAGCAACTCCAATGGGGCAACTTCTTAAAAGTTGTTCTGAGCTAGTCCGAGACCAACAAAGTCAGCTCCCAGAGTGTTAAAAGAGCTGCAAGATGTTAAAGACTTGGTTGCCATCCACTTAGAGCTGCACTGAGATAAAGAGTTTGGCATGTAATTGCCCAGGCCTAAAAAATTCTCCCATGCCAAACAGATGCTTTGCTAGCACAAGCAGTACACATATGTTGCTGAGGAACCCACAAGTGCTGTCACTGTCAGGATCAGTGGTGGTCCTCCATAACACCTGCCAACAGTAGGACATGCTGTGCCTGTGCCTACTTCCTCCTATCTCCCAGCTCATTTCCCTTATGCAGCCAAGGGCTAGTGCTGGCCATGCCAGAGTGTTCTTGTGTCATGCTGACACATTGTGCTTGCCACTGGCTCTGCCACACGCAGAGGCTGACTCAGCTTGTCTTGTTTGCCAAGCAGGGAGAGCACAGCTCTGTGCAGTGCCAGCCCTTTCTGGCTGCCTCGGGTATGAATTGACAAACCATCAAAACCTGCATGACAGAGGTTAATGAAGCCATGGAGAGACACAGCAAAAGGTCAGGAATTTGCAAGGGCTGCTGCAAACTGCTGCCAAATGACAAGCTGTCCACAGCACTGGTAACTCTGTAACTTGGGTGTCGATCAAGAAAGCTGCAAGCTGTTCTTCTGCAAACCAGGTTTCAAAGGCACATGGCAGAGGCATGGGCAGATGGAAGGTGAAGCTCCAGACTCCCAACACTTCTATCTCTAGTTTATGCCAGGGCATCAATGCCACTCACCTGGGATGGGGAGCTACAACAGAACAGCTTAGCATCTTTAGACAGAAGAGCATGAGAACAAGTGCAAGGAAGCCACTCTGCAAACTATCCCAAATACTCTAAGACCATACTGATGACACGGATTTTCTGCCGAAAGAATACTAAAGCAGGCTGGAGTCCAAAGTCACTGATTTCTACCTGGCCCACCACTGTTTCCAGCTTCAGAGTCCCTCCAGTCTGAGAGTCCCTGGAGAGCACCACCCCATGCATTACAACAGCACCAGTGGCCTAAATCCTACATGTACTAAGAAGAAAACTGAGGTTAATGACCTTACATACTATGCAGACTGGCCTAATCTGGCACAAGCCGTATTTCCCACTCCAAAGAGGCCCTGAGCTGAAATAGCAGAGATACCCTGGCCACATACACCATGTGTGCTCAACTAAAACTCTGTGTCGCTCACAGCTGAAAGTACTGTAGAGCTGTAGGCTGGAATGAAAGGTGCAGCACAAACTTGAAAGAAGCAACAGGGGTGCTTATCTTCCTTCTCACTAGAAATACTTTTTCTACTCATGTTCATTACTGATATCAAAACTCAACAGTCTGTTTTGCAATGAGATGTACATTTCTTTGCCCAATTCTTATTTTTTTGGAGACCTGCAAGCCTGATTCATCCCTACTATTTCCCCTCCAACATACTCCTTTTACTTTAATTATCTGTTCAATTGCCTGCCTTCATGTTATGGCCATTACCAAGCAATAAGCAGGATAAGAAACCACTGCCAGGCCCCTCTCAGCAGCTGACCTCCACACAACCAGTCTGGGCAGCAGAGAACAGGTGACAGAGCCCAAATGCACCTTACCCCATACACTGAGGACTTGATCTCTAATGGACATAAGCAAGCACTGGTTACATGTGGCTAGACAAGGGACCTTCTCCATTGGGCAATGCAGGTCCTGCAAGAATCTTATCTAACACGCAGTACAGTTTACTGTTAATTTGGTATAAGGCATACTGAATTATTAAGCTGACAGCTTGATAGTTTGCTTTACAGCAATGGCTTCAGCAACGCACCTGTGCCTTGCAGTTTCCAAGGAACACAGTGCTATCACCTACCTGTGATTTGAGGAAGTCATACTCCTCTGATCCGTATGGGACACTCCGAAGAGAGGTAAGGTAGTCATAGGTGATAACTGCCGTCTGCAAATGAAACCAGAGATGTTGAGCAAGCTCTGCAGTTACCAAAACAACAAAACTTCTGTTAAGGAGAATGTATATATCTTAGGCTACAAAGTTTAGGCTCCACAATGAAGTTTATGGTAACAGACTTATAAGAAATTAAATTATTTCCGTTTCAATGAACATTTATAGAAAGCAGTGCAGGGACCTCATTGACACATAGCTATTAAAAATAAGCAATGCTTAGTACTCCTATACTATCTTCTATTTCAGAAGCTCAAAGCATTTTCATAATATCTGTATAGCGCCTTGCACAGCAGACTCCCATTCTCAGTCAACCATCCAGGGCTTCCACAGTAAGGTCTGCTGCTATTAACAGAGGCCATGCAGACCCTGTTTATGCCCCATCAGTTATTCCACACTTCATCTTCACACCTCCAACCTGCCTAACCACACTGGTGCACAGTGATCCCAGTCTAGGTAGATGGCTCAGCAGGAAGCAGAGTGACTGAAGACAAGCTCACCTTTAGCACAAGCAGCAGTACTTCTAGGGATATTCAAGTGCACAAAGAACTAGAGGGCCAAAGGGTCAGATACCCAATTACAAAACAACAATTTCAGCTGGGGATCCAGCTAAAGCTTGTTAGCTAGACATAGCCACAGACAATTAAATTAGCGCCTTAATGATTTCTGAAAACGTATGGTATTTCACAATTTTATCCTTTGACTAAAGTTTCTCTTTCCATAGTCAGAACACCAGCAAGCGGAACAGAAACATACAGGTCATGTTTATTAAGTTTACTTGGAGGGAGAAAAGGGAATGAATGTACATCTAGATGAGCCTGTCCACTAACCTGCCATTTGAACTTCAAGGTCCTTGCCATAAAGAACCATTTGCATAACTCAGATCTAAAGTCAGTTTTCCTAAAATCTTCCTACTGAAGACCCCAATTCTGGGACAGGATAATAGCCCCATCATTTACCACAAGCACGCCTAGGAAGGGCATAAAGCACAACTGATGTATCATGAAAGCCAGGGAGGCAAGGGAATCAAATCTGCTTCGGGACAAAATCACCAGAACTGACAACAGGGAAACAGTCAAAAGCTCAGAGACACATCCAACAGGAGACCCAGCTGGGAATCAGTTACAAACTGACACATTTCCTCTTTATGGAGGTAAGGTTTCTCATGTTTCCTGTTTTCCAAATTGGAAACTGAGAACAGCAACTTTTTTTTTTTCTGCTTTTTCAAGCTCTCTTGTCCCTAGTGAACTCAGGAGCTGCACAGATACATGGAGACCCATTCAGAAGAAAATTTTTTCAAACAATCTTCGCAACCTCAAAGGACAACTTTGAAGTGGAGGAAGGTTCAAATCAGCCTTGCATGAAGGCTTGAGTTAGTTCTTATTTTATCTCTGGTCCACGAGGGTAATTATCACCTCCAACTTGAAAAGCAGCAGCTAACAGATTGGTCTGTATTAAAGAGGAAGAGGGAATTAATTAAGCAGTTGCTAATTACATCGTAATCTTAAACACTAAATTAGTATTATGATGATCCTGATAGGCAACTCTGACATTGCCAAATCCCTACTAGTGTCTGAGATGTATTCCAGCTACTGCACAGAATGTTCCTTCCACATACCCAAAACAACTGGGATACACTCAGAGAAAGATGGCAAACGCACAACTGCTCTGCCAGGTTTCTAATTTTACCAGAACACAGAAACTGAACCGTGACGCTGTTCATGCCACTAACTTCAGTCTCATGCAAGACTAGTGCTGTCTGTCATTCATGTTACAGTGTGAGACTGAAGCTCAGAGACATAAAAAGACATACAAGATTAACCAGTCCCTCCCCTTACAAATGTCAGAATACTTCTTTAACTGATCTGGTACCCAGTCCAGTGTTAAATATCCCAAAGACTTGGGCTTCCACTTTGGATCAGTGAATTCTCAACATCTTACACTCTTCTACCACTCCTAAAACTATCCCCAACTCTTACCAAGTCGTGACACAATGTTCCCTCTGAACTGTTGTCTACTCATACATAAGCAAGAGCCAGTTCTCTAAACTGAGACTCAAGAAGAAATTTTCTGCTAGTGCACTTCATCAAGTTTCTTAGGAAAGTCTGCAAAGGACCACTGAACCAGAACGCTTAAAATACAAGCAAGCTCAAATCTTTCTAATCAAACTCAGATGAAATCGGTCTGGAGTCCTGTAGTTCTACTTCAGGTTTCTCGACCTCCACGTATTCTTGTCTCCAGACTTTTGTTTTGTTTGCCACACCATAACTTGTCTGCTGCTGCTGAACTTAGCTCTTAAGAATTATAACCTCTTAATTACAGTTTGCTTTTGCCTGGCTATGGTCTGATGATTGAATCAAACAGCAGGTAAGAAGTCTGGGCAGGGCTACATTGAAGAACAGATGCTTTAGGTCCATGTAGAAGCCACCAATATCAAGTCCCTTGTTTGCCAGAGTTTCAGCTTTAATTTACAAAAAGAACAAGCCCAAGAAGCTGAGCTTCTTAGAAATGAACATATCTAATTTCTCTACTGCCTTAACCAGCCCACAGCTAAGGGATGAGACCAGTTCGGACTGCCAGTGTTCAGACAAAAGATGACCTCTGCCTTTCCAACAAGGAGAAGACCCCAAGATGAGAAGACAGAGGTCACCTATGCATCAGGACTAAAGAATCTCTCAGAAGCAACCTAACCATATACAGTCCTACATATAAGAGGGAACACAGAATTCAAAAAGATACAGAAAATGCTTGTTTGAAAAGTATACAGACACACAGAAGACTGACCATTGGTTGCTTGGTTTTGGAGGTCACTGCTTGCAGCTACAGGTGCAGAACACTCTAATGCATTTAAGAGCAAGGCCAGTGAAGTGCTTTACAGCCCATGATTTGTGACTTCCCTGAATGCAGAGGACATGAAAGTCAAGCACAGTGTCTTTAGATTTGCCAGTATCTAAAGCAAAGAGAATCTCCTTTCCCCTACTCCGTATTCATCAAGAAACTCATCTCTCACCATCACTCAAAACACAGACCAACCGCACAGCTTCATCACTGCACACTTTCACTTATTTTTGCCAGAACATAGCCACAAAATCACTGGCTTGAAGAAAGACTGAGAAACACTGGTCAAGCAGACAGAACTCAAGGGTTGATTGGAGAGCCCAAATAGCCTGAATAGCAGATTCCCCTCCAGCCATAATAAGCTGTGGGGAGGAATAGCAGATTCCTCTCACCATAAGAAGTGTTCCCTCAGTTTCCTGTGCTGTAAAAGGGACAGAGTTGTTCCCTGCCACCAGGCAGCACTGCCTTATGGTCAGGGACAGAGCATGAAGCTTAGCACTTATGAGGTAAGAAGGAAAGATTACAGTTTATATTTCTGCCCTCACCCTTTCAAAATAAACACTCATTTTTCACAATAGTTCATGGTGCAGCTTCCACATATAAATGGCACAGCCAACCCATAGAGCTTGTTTCTTATTGCATCTGCCCTCAGGAGCCAATTCCTTGCAAAACTCATTAATGAAGTCCTTAAAAGTCATAGAATATGCAGACAGACAGCTGCTTACCACTGGGGGTCTGTAAATGATGGAGATCGTGGCCTGAAGTGACAGATGTATAATGCAAGTGAGGTACAGGGAGACTGATACTCCCTCCAGAGTCTCTGGTCTCCTTGTTCCTGGCTGCTCATGGATTCATCGGTCAATATCCTCAAGGAGAAGGCAGCAACCTGTTTAGCTGGCAGTCTCCATTCTCAGGTTTTCTGGAGCAGTGATCAACACAAGGGTGAAACAGCGGCGATGCTAGGCAGATTTAGCATTTATTTTACGAATCTGGAAACCAATCCAATCTCAGAAGTATATCATCTCCCATCCTCACTTTACTCTTGCTTTGAGAATGATCCTCAAAACACCTGCCCTCCTCTCCCCAGATCTCATAGTAAGGGTCACTGGGCAACAACTACCATGGCACATCAATACAACAACCACCATGATCCTTAAAACAAAACATTCCAATGTTAAAAATGCATATGCAGACAAGATGGTTTGAACGAGGTCACTGTTAAAGGCAGCAGGACACTGTACCTGGGTGATGAAGACGCGGGCCCAAAGTGAGCCCTTGCTCTGAAGGTCCCACCTTATCTGGGGAAACACAGTTCTCTACAGCTCAGGACCTCTGCTTTTTTCTTTCCAAAACATGCAAACAACAGTTTTATTCCTTATATGCTTTCACCTCTTTTCTCCCCACTGCGTTAACAATTTGCAGAGCTCCCTATTGACCTTCTGACTCCTGGAGACAGCTGCCAACTGGGAATGCAGGAAATCTCATGTTCTTGTGAACTCAAATTCCCTTACACACCTAGGAATCTTCCTGCACATTACTAAGGTGAAACTTACTGTGGCAATGGCTCGGCCCACACGAACAACTCCAAAATCATTGGGATCCAGGTACTTGTTTCCATACAGATAGATGCCAGAAGCAGCTGCTGCCAATGAGGCAAGTTTCAAGGCCCTTTGTGCCATGACTGATGAACCCTGCTGAGACACAAAACAGTAACTGTAACATCTGAGAAGGATGTAGTGAACTGATGCCTACAGCCCCAAGGGACCTAACAATCCAAGTTTTAATTGCTCCTTTGCTAATGATGCATTGCTAGCACTGCCCCCAGCCAAGAGCTCAAGCAATCATGGAGCAACCAAATTTAAGCTGTTCTGCTCAGACTCCATTGCTATTCCTGCTTTGGACCACAAACACAGAAGTAACTCACTGCTAGACCTTGTGCACCTGCAATAAAACATTTGTTCATGGTCCCAAAGGCTTCACAAGGAGGAACAGGTAGCTAGAGAGAAGGGAACACAAGATCCCCAAAAGTCACTTCTGATCACTGCAACAGGCCACCTCTTCAATGCAGATGTTTTGAAGATATCACAGCGTAGGCAGATTGCAAGGGGATAATACCGGATATAAAAAATCAGGGTTTAAAAGGAGCTCTTGCAACATCAAGAGCACCCAAAACCTGTTGGAAATTCTGCCGGACTAGTTATGAAAGTGCCTCACTACTGATGAGTGGTGGAGGGAGCAGCAATGCATCCCTGGAGCTTGCGTGCGATTCCAGCAGCCAGTGGCAGACAGCTGCATGCAACGCAGGGGATGAGGGACCGGATCAGAGTGACCAAGTGAGATTTTTCTCATTATCACCATCCCATTCAAGTGCCAGGCAGGGACTGCACTGTCAGAATGGACACCTGCAGGAATAAACAGCCTAATCCTGGATCTGTCACAGGCCCAGCACAGGTCTGGGATAGGACGTTTCTCATTCACTTTTTCTCTGGAAGGCAAGGGTGGGGAACAAACACATTTCCCACAATAGGCACTCTGGAGCACTGCTTCACTGCTTACAGGATATAAAGTAGCGTAAGTATGTAGTTCATTACATGTGATACATGTATTATGGTTCATTATGTCACTTGAGAGGATTCAGACCTGAAAAAATAATTCCTTTTCTTTTCTTTGGCTGGTGTTGGATAGAAAATATGATTGGCCATTCTTTCTGCTTATACCATCTATCAAGTGGCATGGTTCACCTACTCTGTAAGGGCACCCTTGACAGAGTGTGGGCTTTTACCCCATCACAAGTCCACTAATCCTCCCACTCTTAGACTAGATGGAGAAACTTTCCTACTTCTCACTGTGAACCTTTAGTGGGGTCAGACTGGCTCATGCCTTTTCTCTCAGAAGTCTTGTGACCAAAAAACACATGCAGTGATACAGGTCAAGCTTTTAAAAAACAGTTCACAAGAACACAATTGGCAAAATAGACTAGTATAACATAGGAGACCCTGTGAATGAATCTTAGCTAAACATTATTATTTCTTTTTCTTTCCCTAAAAGCCCTAGATAACTTTGAGGCAGAAAAGCTGAGACATACTCTGTCAGCACCTGAAAGAAGAGGTAGTCAGCTGATCAGGACTCCTTCAAACCTATGATTAAACTCAAGAGAAAATAAACCTGGACCCTTGACTACAGCCAAATTAACACACACTTCCTAAAAAAAAGCTGCCCTCCTCCCCTTGCCCCACTGAAATTCTAGAAATTCCAGCGCTTCTTCCTGGAAGACTGATCTCTTTTGTACAGAAATCTCTTGTATCCTCTGTCACCTTCAAAAAACATTCTCTGCAACATGTTTTAATTAAACCATTTCTGCTCCTTGTACGCTTTTGTAAAATTTCATTTATTGGAAAGTGAAAGGTGCAAACAGTGACTTTTTTTTAACACAGAAAATACACCTCCCTTTATTTTTCCTTCACTTTATTATCGAAAGAACATTCGCTTGAAAGCAGCATGCAAATCCATCTGTTCTTGCGTCTTATTACTACCTGAAGCTATAATCTGCAGTTTGTGACATCACGTCTATTGCCATACCCGCCAGCTGTACGTCACAAACAGAAGATGGGAACTTTAGGTAGCAAATAAACAGGCAGAGCAGCTGAGCTCTTCAGTAGTAAAGTTCCTGTTTTCATGCTCAATGCGTTGTACCAATAAAAAGGGAAGAATTAAAACCCCTCCAATATAAGGTGCAGAAATGGAATTGTTAGAAATCAATTGTCTTTCCAAGTTTTGCATAAGGTGTCGAGCAGCCTTTTCCATGTAAATGAGCCATTCCAACACCCCTAGGGGTATCTTAAAAACCCTGTCATCTGTGAAATATGCCTCAGGATGTCACTGCCTCTAGTTATTAAGCCCTGCATTGATGGATCACCTTCAGCTCGGCTTTCGCCTAGGTGAGCCAGCTGGCTCCGACTTTCACACGACTTGACACACGAAGGGTTCCCTCTCTTCACAGCGGCTCCTCTCCGCCTCTCCGGCTCCCAGGGCTCGAGGGAGCGGGGACGGACGGGCGGTTACCTCTTCTCTCCCGGAGCCCGGGAGGTGACTCCCTCGGGGCCCATCGCTTCACCTGCCCAGGCCTGTGCCGGGGCGCGGCAGCGCTGCCCGGGAGATCGCGCTGCCCCGAGGCCCGGGGAGCGGCAGGGA